CATTACTGTGTAGTAGATTTTTATGCATATCCCTGCATTATTAGTTTTTTATTAAAAGTATTATTTCTGAACAATATTTCAGCATGAATGACCTGAAAATGCAATTGTTAAACCATTTATTAATAAAATAAGTCAAGAAGGTTCTAGAATTTCTAGCAGACCGCGTATATTTTCACCGCTCCATAGTATGCATGATAATGTCCAGATCCGGACCGTGGATTTGATACATTCCCAGATGCTTCGCCGGCATCCCATTCGGTATCTTCGTTGAGCCTCGTCAGTCTGCGCCACACTACAACTAGTCGAAGAGACAACTGCTAAATTTTCGTGATATCTCTCCTTTTGGCTTAGTGTATACATCTATCCTATATCTTATTGACACCTATTCACTATCACAACTTTCCACTTGCTTTCCACATGGTTCTGGTATGCCCTTTTTAGCGGATTAAGTAGGACCTATTACATTTTATGCCGGCTCCCTCATTTGCCACACTGCCTTGGGAGTGTTGATTCAAACTGCCCCCTTAGTCCGCAATCTTCTTCCTCCAGATCCTATCAGAATCTTTCTCTTTCCCCGTAGAAGCTTCTCTTTTCTCCTTGGTTTGGTGATTTCACTCGATCGCTGCCACCATATCCATGCTAGTCAAGGCGTTATGTTCTACATTCTTTCTCAAGCCTTTGATAGTACCTATACTCTGGCCTCATTTAGCAGGCCCCCAAATCGGAATGCTTAAGCTAGATGGGAAACTAGCTCGAAGATGTTGATTCCCTTATCAGCAATGAAAGGCATAACAATGAATAAATCGACATAGGGATGATGAATGAATGAATGAATTACAAATGACGCAAGATCGCATACATCTTACGGACTACCGGATATACACAAGGAAGGAATACTACTAAGATTAACCATCAACAACGAGCATGGAAATACACATAAGTTAGTAAAATTTACATGTTTGTATTTCAAGGAAAGTAAATTACAAACTATTACACCGTGGAAAACTCATGAATTTTCTCAAAGGATCCAAAACATTGAGTTGGTGGGGAGTAAACTACTGGTAAGTTTTGACTTACAATCCATGTATACAAATATCTCTGGCAAGAAAGCGAGAAGCGCTCTGCTCGAAATCTTGGAACGATAAGAGGATATATTGGAGGCAGAGTGGATTTGGAAGGAGTTTTTAACACGACTGATTAACCTGACAATAAGGACCATCCATTTAACATTCAACGAGAATATCTATAAGCAAATATTTTGACTACCAATAGAATCCCCACTCTTCTTTGGCAAATGTATACATGAAAAGGAATTCGATAAGCCACTGCTGCAACCAAGAGTGCTTATGCGATACCTGGATGTTAAAAAAAATTAAGATGAATTCGTCTACTTTATGAACCAACTTGAGGAGAGCATTACATTAAAAATGGAGGTGGAGGAGAATTAGCGACTTATTTTCCTGGATGTTGATGTTATTCACTCCACCGAGTTATTAAAGAGGAGACTATTCAGAAAAAATGCACATGTAATAATCCTCACTTTCCAATCTCATCGCAACTGCAACTTGAAGATCGGGATACTGAGGAGTTTGATCATAAGAAGCTTAAGGCTGATTGACATGGAGTTCTAGAACGAAGAATTGAAAAACTTAGTAATGAGTACCCCAGAGAATTCATATAAAGAAATATATGGGTCATAATGATCAGATATCAACTTGGATATTATGAAAGTAAAATAAGGAATCGGGAGGATGACCGATAGTGGATATGTCTACCCTCCTGTGAATGAAGTCAAAAATTCCGACCATTTTTAAGAAAAGAGAATATCAACGTGTAAGAAAGAAGACGCAGAATGACGAAGCAACACAATAAGGTTGACAAGCAGCATTGCTTGGGAGCTTATCCCATAAAATTCAGCAACTTTGAGCGGAAGTATATTGGTGAAACAGGAAGAAAAATCTGCCTACGAATAAAGAACATCAAAGACCCTACAGAAAGTTGGATACGGAAAGATCCCAAATTGCGGAACACATTGTATAGACAATGTAGACAGAAAACGTAATCGACTAGAAATAGACAAAAAGACTGATAGCAATCGGTGAAAATACAAGAAAATTTGGATCAACATTCCCAGGACAAGGGGGATGAAAAGCCAACAGAAAATGTGAAGTAGTCTAGAAATTTTCATGCATACTATGGACTTCAGACAAAAAGTTATCTTCCAGGTTTTCCTGACAATATGACCAAGTTGCAAAAACAATTTATATACAACGAAAGGGGATCGCGACCATACTAAGACCACACCATCTTGGTCTTCATATAGTATACAACGTTACAAGGCATATATCGTTTTCGTTTTGAGTAGGTTTTCAAGATTACCAGTAAATCATTTCTCACCAAATTTTAGGCCTATAATACTGTGCTAAAGCATAGTGGGGGTGGTATATCCGGCGGGCAAAAGCAACGTTTGGCCATCGCTCGGGCCCTTATTCGACAACCCCGAATCCTTCTGTTCGATGAAGCAACCTCAGCTTTGGACACGCGATCTGAATTTCTTGTTCAATCAGCACTGAAGTCGGCCTCGTATGGACGCACTGTAGTCATAGTGGCTCATCGTCTTAGCACAGTACGCGATGCAGATAAAATCATTGTCATTGACAAAGGCGCCATTGTCGAGATGGGTCCACACGATGAGTTGGTAGCCATGGACGGTGCCTATGCAAAGCTTCTTGAAAAGCAGGTCTGTCTAATCAATCTCTATTTTGCATTTTAAGGGTTACTTGGCATCTATTTTTCTGCTATTAATAATAATAATAAGTAGATAAATAGATTTACTTACTCTCTTACGATGGTCATCGTAGGCGCTTTGAGGAACTAAGGCCTTGCAATTGAGTTGCCCACGCTTATATTGATGAATGTCGTAACTTTAGCACTGAAATATTTTGTTAGTTCGACCTTGTTTTCCAAATTTGGCCGGAGCGTCAGGGAGACCCTGTGGAAGGTACCTTGTCCTGTGTCCTCTGCCATAGTATTTGTGATTTCCAGCTTCGGACCATTGACTTGGTATATACCCAAACCTTTCATCGGCATAGTTTCCGGCATCGTTAGCACAAAGGTCTCCCTTACGCTCCGATCAAATTGCATAAACAAGGTCAAACCAACACTATAAATCTAAAGGGAATTGCGACCAAACAGAAGGCCGCACCATCCTGGTCTTCATGTCTACCATTTAAAATATTTCCCTATAATTTCATCACAGTTTTTTGCAATATTAAATTTTTATCCCATGTTTTTATAGCCATATAATAGGTGGAATTCATAGAAACTATTCATAGCTATTGTAAATAACTTTTAAAGTCCAAGTGCAGCAGTCTATACATTTCCTCTATAAATTCTATTTCGTTTGTTCATTCATCCATACCTTAATTTTATTTTATTCGTAAATAATTATTTCCATTTTTAACATTACAGATAGATCAAATTTCTTCCTTTCTCAGGATTAAATTGAATCAAGGATGGGATATATGATTGATGCACTAACGAGCACATGAAGGAGAAATCAGAAAAATAATAATGGGAAAATAATGATGACTACTCATTATCAGCTCGTGATCCCCATACATAGTTGAATATCAATCTCGCTTGGATGGCATCATACTTGTTCACTGTCGAAGATATAAATACTCTCGGCCTTAGAGGCATTATAAGAGATCGATTTCGCTTAGGTGAGATTAGATCTTAACAAGTTTAATTGTAAGAATATAAAAGTTCATTTAAAGTTCTATATATGAACACTAACAATGAATGACATGAAAAAAAGTAGTTAACGCCTAAGTGAATGTAGATAAACACCCCATACTAGATAGGAACCTTTATCAATCCAAGTTTAAAAATGACGTCTTAATTTAAACCTCCCACACTTTTCTATTCTTTTTTATGCACTTAGTTCATTCTTTTAAAACCGGATTAGTCAGAGCTAGTTAGATATTTTGAAGGAAAGAAATATCCCTTTGAAAAGGTTAGTATAAAGGGCCGGAGGATTTTTTGCTCCAAGTTCATTTATATAATCATTTGCTTGGTTCCCTTTCGAATTCCATATTTTCCTAAGCGAGATATATACTAGATGTTAGATATCGTACCACCTAATTTTTTATCTATCTTCCGAATTACATGGTTAACTCTTTTCATTTTACTATCAAGCCTGGAGTTGTATATCTTCAAAG